TGAGATTTTGCTTCCTAAACATTTCTCTGAGAAATTAATAGCTGATAATAAGTAACTAAGAGTAAGGATTTCCTCTCTCCATTTCTAAGTAGTTACTTTTAAAATACTTTGGAAAATTAGAAAAAATTTAGCATGCATGGAGAGCAAATGGACATGCTTGGGATGTTTTTGTTTTGCCTAACACTATAATTTGGGGTAGAAAATTTGGAACATATTATAATAATGAGAATTGGCAGTGAATTACAGTCCTGTAGTTAAAATTACCTTTAAAGTCACTATCTTTCATTATGACTGTTTAAGTGCACAGAAAAGCCTCAAAAAACAAAAACAAAAACAAACAAAACAAAACAAAACAAAAACCAACGAAAAAACCAAAAAAAACCCCAAAACAGGAATGCATGGGTGTTTACGCTCCTGGGTTTTAGCTCCTAGTAATAGTGCAGTGTTGAAATAGAGAGCATAGCAACAAGACTGAGTCGTGTAAAAAAGCATAAGGAATAAAATCTGTTCTTTTGTGCAGACTAACAAGTTTGTTCCAAAAACTGGATGTGAGCTGCTGTGCTTCCCTGATCCCTGCAAGCAGCAGCACTGTGCTGGCCTGCAAAGCAGTGACCCACTCTGGGCCACAAACCACACTGGATAGAATGGAATGTCTTGTAGCCAGCTGTTCCAGACTGCATTTCTCCCTACTGTTCTGGCTGCACAAGCTGAACTCTGAGCACAGAAAAGGGAACTGTTGTTCTGGCAGAACCCTGAACCTAACACTGGGAGGTTTGTGTCAAATGTATCACTGTCCATGGCATGAAAGATACTGCAAACTGAGGATGAACTTTCACTCATAAGAAAAAATCTAGCATTATATTATCCATACTTCCCAACTACTCCTATCAGCCTATACCTCTGCCCCCTGTGACCCTTCTCTATTTTCAGTGAACTCTTAGGCAGCCTTAGAATGAATCTTGTAGGATCATATTTACAGGAAAATGGACATGTACTAAATGAACCAGCCTAACCTTCTGGAACTACAGAACAAGGTCATCTTTGTGGATAAAAAAGCTGATGTTGCAAGAAGAAAGAAGAAGCAGAAATGTTGCTGACAGACAAAGGGGTGTCAATCCAAGTAAAATAACACTTATAGCATCTACCAATTAGATTAAGAAAGAGATGCATGCTTCTCTCATGGACAAAGTAAAGATGCATGGACAAAGCAGAGCTACCAATCAAACAGTGCATGACTGTGTAGACCAAGATAAGAAGTAAATTTAAACAATGTTTAGAAGCACAATAAACAGTTTTTGCTTTATTCACATTGAATCATGCAGAGTCCTTTGTCTTCTCTCCTCAGGATCTGACCATAATCTTATTTTCCCAGAGAATTCAAACATTCATAATGACAGCAAGATATAATGCATTCATGGTGACATCATAGAATTGTTTATGTTGGAAAAGACCTTTAAGATCATTGAGTCCAGACATTAACCTGAGCACCACACCTTTGTGGTCCTTTAAAGATCTTCAGTGTTGGTAACTCTACCACTTCCCTGAACAGCCTCTTCCAATGCTTGAACACTCTTTAGGTGAAGAAACTTTTTGTATTATGCAATCTGAACCTTCCCTGGCACAACTTGTGGCTATTTCATCTTGTCTTATCACTTCTTACCTGGGGAAAAAGACATCAATCTCCACTTGTCTACAACCTCATTTCAGGGATTTGTAGAGCAATAGGGTCATGCCCAAGATTCCATTTCTATAGAATAAATACCCCCAGCTCCCTCAGCTACTCCTAATAGGACTTGTGCTCCAGACTCTTCCCGAGCTCCATTGCCCTTCTCTGGACACACTCCAGCACCTCAGTGTCTTTTTTTGCAGTAAGGGGCCCAGAACTGGACACAGCACTCGAGGTGTGGCCTCACCTGTGCTGAATACAGGAGGACAATCACTGCCCTGGTCCTGCTGGCTGATCCAGCTGATCCAGGCCAGGATGCCACTGGCCTTCTTGGCCACCTGGGCACAGCTGGGTGGTGTTCAGCTGCTGTTGGCCAGCACTCCCAGGTCCTTTTCTGCTGGGCAGTTTTCCATCCACTCTACCCCAAGTCTGTAGCGTTGCATGGGGTTGAACTTTTGCACCTGGCCTTGTTGAAACTCAAACAGTTTTCCTTAGTTCCTCGATCCAGTCTGTCCAGATCTCTGCAGAACCTTCCTACCCTCCTGGAGGTCAGCACTCCCCCTCAACTTGTCATCTGCAAACTGATTTTGTCTAGATCACTGATAAGGATACTGATCAGGGCTGGCCCCACCACTGAGCCCTGGAGAACACCACTGGTCACTGGCTGCCTGCTGTATTTAATTCCATTCACCACCACTCTGGGCTTGGATAACCAGCCAGTTTTTCACCCAGCAAAGATTATGATTATCCAGTTTCTTCAGAAGAATGTTGTAATGGGGAATCAGATAAGACAAGCATAACTTGCCTTATGCCCTTGCTGACCGAGCCTCATCTTCTGGTTGTCCTGTACTTGCTACAGGATAACACTCAAGATGATCTGCTCTATGACCCTCCCTAGCAACACAGTCAGGCTGACAGGCCTGGTCCCATTGCTGAAATTTTTTTGTGTGTCTTTTAGTGCAGTAGCCAGATTAACCTGCAAATGGGCTTTGGCCCTCCTAATTTTCTTGCTGCTTAACCTCCTGTTTGCTCATGTTGTGTGCATTGGTGTAGTGGCACTTCAGTTGAGCTGCTGATTCCACCACCTCCTTGGGGAGAGATCCTACATGACCATTCTCAGGTGCTTCCATGGTTTCTAAAACATCACTGACCTTTGCATCTTTTTTGCTATATAGATCTCCATCCCCTGCCTTCAGTGGCGGATAGAAGGAACTCGCTAGCACATAGTCACTCAAAAACTGGTGGGCTACCTTCAAGTTTGCCTCTAGTGAGCCTGGTTTTACCATTTTCCCCATTTTATTTTAAAGTTGTTTTGATAAGCCCTGTGAAAAGACCCTTTTCTTCCTTTGGGACAGGTGTACCCCATCCATTGCCAGAAGATCCAGTGTTAAGTAGACCAAATCATGATCGAAATCCCTAAATTCTGCAGGTGATACCAGGCTTGAAGCCAGGTATTGGTCTGCTGAATTATACCATTCCTTCCCTGCAACAGGATGAATAGAGGAGAGCAACAATTGTTCTCCTGATCCCTTAACAGTCATCCCAAGACCCTGGAGTCTCTTAATTGCCCTTGACCTTCTTGTTGCAACTTCATCACTGCCTACCTGAAAAAACAGAAAATGGATCATAACCAGAGGGTTGTGCCATAAGATGACACTTTCACTTGACATCTTTAACCCAGGCCCAAGGAGGGATGCAGACTTCCTGAAGAAGCCTGCTTGATCTGTATATGGGGCTTTCTGTTCCCTTCAGAAAGGATCTTCTACGACATCAATCTGTCTTTTTTCTCTTTATGGAAGTAATTTTGACACAGGGCTGAATTAACTTTAGTGACACCTCCAAGCCAGATGGACCATCCTCCTCATTAGTGTTCCATTCCAGTTGCAGAGCCTGCCACCTCATGTGCCAGGTCACCTGGGGCACTGGGGCAGTCACAGGTGAGATGTGCAGAAGTTTATTGACATTCCTCCACTCTTAAATCACTGTGCTCTGCCAGGCACAGAGAGAACTAGGAATCCCCTGTGCCATGCAGGGCCTGTTTTGGGATGAAATTCCAGCAGTTTGTCTCTCACACCCCTGGAGCTCTCATATCCCGGAGCTCTGGCTCTGTAAATTCCTCTGTAAATTCCTGCAGTGTCTCTCACACCCCCAGATATCCCCATTCCCAGAGTGCTAGCCCCTGTACCAGGGGTTGCCCACCGCTGCTCTCAGGTGCTGGTGCAGAGCAGAGCACCACTATAAAGTCACCCTAAGCTTCAAACAGCCCAGTAGACTCCCAAATTTAACACCTCTATTGAGCTATAAATGGTGTTTGTTTAGACGATGTTCATCTATAATTATCTTCTTCCAAGAAAAAATAACCATGTGGTTTGGTTTACCAAATGTTTAGTTAAATGTTTCCATTTAAGTGAAACATGCCAATTTCATTTCTAACTGAAAGAAATACATTTCTAAGAGAAAGAATTCATTTCTAATAGAAAGAAACATCCCTAGAGAAAAAGGGAGCACTTCACTATGTACTTCTTGGAAAGTATAGCCAAACATGCTGTGATAATTATGATCAGGAGTTTTTTCCACAGTATAAGACTCTCTTAAAGTTAAGTTGCCTAAAAATATCTTTGCATAGAAGGAATCGCAAGATAGTGGTTGTGCACAGGAAGGAGAATTTCTTATTAAACCTATACAGATATAATTTTGCAGGTTGTGACAATAAAATCTGTGACAAGTTTCTGTTCCCCACATCTTTCCCTCTTTTCCAACCTATATGAATCTATGATTCCATGACTAGGTAAAAAGTGTTATTTTTAACAAGACTCACCAGTGCATATATTTACTTTTGTTTAGTACTGACTAAAATCTCTCTATTACACTGCTGTCATCTACAGAAATTCTGTCACTGTTTTCAGTAAGATTCCACTGGCTGCAGATTTTCTGTTCTCTGCCTGCATTTAATGTTCTTTCAACTGTATACACTAAGAAGTAAATAACTTTTCTCCCAGATTTCTGCCTCTGTCCTTGCTATATTAACCAGGTTCAGAGCACTAGCTGTTTTCTCCTCATTTTTGATGAATTTTTGTCATTGTTAGCAAACAATGACAAATTTTCACAGGCTAGCACCAGTTTTCATTTGCTATTTCTCTGACACAGCAGAAACAGAGAAACAGGTGCCAAGCGTGAGGTTAAATACAATACTTAAACTATGTCTTTCATAATAAACCTTAGTAGACAGTTTTTAAAAGCATTTAATAATTTGAAGCTAAGCTCCAAGAGCTAAGCTGTTTCTAATGAAGAAAACAAGAAAACAAGAGGATGCCAAAAGTTGTGAAATACTCACAAGTCTCGGAGTGCTGAGCAGCAAGTCAACACGACACAGAAGTTAGGATAAGGTTTGCATAAGTGACAGCGGCAAATGCTCCACCCCCTCCTCCATTCTTGTTTTACTTTCAGTTGTTATATAAATAAATTTGTACCTAATAAGGTGGAAATTATTCTCGTGACAAAGAGCAGATCGTAGGGATTTCCTGCTGCCATTTCCTAGCAACTTTCAAACTTGGGGAAAAAAACCCTAAACAAAACAACAAAAAAAACCAACGTAAGCGGAAATACATATGCCTACAATTTAAAAGGCAGGCAAGTGAGTGCCAAACATGAAAGGCAGCAGACAGATTGATATCTGAAGCATAGACCTTCCTGGATATTCCAGTTTAGCATTCCCTAAAGGAAAGGAGGCTCATGGTTTGTGCCCTTGTTGGTGCACCTCATAGCTGAAGTGTAACCTCCCGACCAGAGCTCAGCAGAGCTGCCTACCTTGGAAGCAAACACTGCAGCTGTGTGCTGTGACTCCTCCTCTTTCCAACCAGAACAGTGTTTTTTACTGGCGCAGCTGCCTTAGGAGGGAAAATGAAGTGGCCTTTCAGGACAACACCAAGAAGCCGTGGAAGAAGGTTATGAGGACAGAGAAGAGCTTCTCCAAAAGGCTTCTCCATCTGGCTTGCTGTGGAACAACAGGGAAGGGAGGTGGTATAGGCCAGCAGAAGAGTATTCTTGTAATGGATCTGAGAAGAATAATCTGCAAATTGCATTGGGATCCAAAGTTGTGGATTTTTAGCTGTAAAGAAAAGTGGAGGTTTAGTTTCTATAATAATCACCAGGAATGGCAGCTGTACACCTAAAGTCCTGCCTAGACACCTCATCATAAAAAAACTTTTGTTCCTTGAGATAAACTCGAATGTCTTGAAGATGAGGCTTAGCAGCTCCCCAGGAATACTATCAGGTTTCCAGGAAACATTACTTACCTATGCAAGGTTTATGCATTCAAGAGGCAACAGTGAAAACAGTTCTTGATCTCTGTGCAATCTTTTTTATATCCTCAGCTATGCTGTTCTGGGTTCTGGTTGTTATTCATGTTATATGCATGTCGCACTTAAAGGTGGTAAAAATAGTCTGCAGCTAAATGACAGGGTTTTAGAGCTCTGACTCCTTACTAAAGAAGAGATGAGTTTCTGGAGCTGGGAATTTCCTTCTTGTTTCTCAGTGAAATCATGTTTTTTTCAGGAGCACTACTTATAAAACAATACCAGTTAGCTCACTGTGCTGGCATATTCTATTACAGAAAGATTCAAAAAATCTATTTATGAACATAAATATGACTTCTGTGTCTTCACCAGCTGTTGTACAAGTGAGAGAAACAGGACCTGAGACCGAATGTTTCCAGAGAGTAGTTACAGGTGGCTACATAAAAAATGCATTGTGTGGGACAGCTGGCTGCCATTTCTTAGCACCCTGGTGTCCTGTGGTCCAACATTTGGATCCAACATCCATTCTTCAGAGAAGGCCCTGGAATGAAATACCCCCACATTAACTACCTCCTGCATGGGTTCAGACTTGTCATAACTGCTACTGCAAACAACTTAAAAAAAAAAATGCAGAACTCACGATTTCGTGCTTGTCAGGGACTCTTGGCTCTCTCACATGATACCTTATCTGTGCCTCCAGAAAAGCAGCTACTTGTGTTCCTGGTACTTTGCCTCAATGCAGGCTGTGAATGTGACTTTTTAAGCTGGTGAACAGACGTGAGAGATGAAATCTGCTTCGCCTGGCAGCTGTTAGAAACCAGGACAGGATTTGAAAATGGAAATAAAAGTACAGACTTTCCACACCTAGTGACAGATTATGAAAACAAGTACCAGCATTGCAGGAAAAACATCAGCTTGGATAAATATTTAATTCAAAGGAACATAGCCATTTATGAACTGTCTTGTGATAAGAGCACTTATTTTCAGACAAGAGTGGTCATAAATACCTGTTTCTTCAGCTCACTCCAGCTCGAAGAGTGAGAGTAAATTATATGAAGTGTACATGTGATTACATATATGTACTTGGACTCCAAGGTGTCTCATATTTTGCACTGTTCAAATCTGAAAGAAAATGGGGTGTTTTCCATTTTTTCTCTTTGATGTGATAATTTTGCTATGCTAACTTGGACAGAATTTTCTAAACTAGGAGAAATTTATAAGCAAACAGACAAAAACAAGCACACAAAGATTGAAGTATTAACTAATTATGTGAGAACAGGGAAAGAATAACTTGCTTTTCCAACAATTTCCTTTGAACACAGCAAAATGGAATCATTGCATATAGAGTGGGTTTTTTTTAACTATCTCTCTGGGTTTGTTCTTTCTTTAAGCACTGCATTTTGCTGGCATTGCTGAAGTTTAGAATATATTTCTAGCTTAATATAAAAACTATTCCTAAAAATTACATTAGTTTTATATAAAAGTAATGCAAGTGTTAGTATATATTATATTACAGTAGGGTGGCAATACCACCAGCACTCCCTCAAAATTTAACTCTCATTCATTCTCTTAATTACACAAAAATGTGCTCAGTAGACATTTTATAAACATCTACTTGCTGCTAGCCATGTTAAGGTGTTCATTTATAGCATAAATTATTCTCAGATTATCAAAAGCAAAATATGTCTTTCAATTTATGCAAGTTTAATTGGACACAGGCTGTTTGGCAATATACAGGCAATTATTCTCACTAAGAATCAACTAAAGTGTAACTTAGTGGTTTAAGTGCAGTGACAAAGAATGTGAATGCAAACAGTAAAATTAAAACAGATGCATGACTGTCATTTTGGAAATAAAGCAGGAAAACTGAAAACTCACACATGACCATCCTGGTTTGAAGCAGCATTGCCCAAATGTTTTGTGCAACTGCGTGACTCTCACCAACAAGTGTGTGGTTTCTCTCTTCCTAAAAGTCTGCCTATATTCTCATGGAATTCCTCTGGAATTGGTGTTAATTCTTTTGCTGAACAGCAGGAGAGGAAGTCTTGCAAAAGGAGCAGGAGTGAAGAAATGGGAGGGAAGAAGTCTTTTCCAGATCAGTCTATGTGATCGGATGGGTATACAAAAACCAGTAGTTCTAGCAAAACAGACCCCTGTAGGATGGCCCCAGCTGACTCAGCCCAATCCAACTTCCACTGCTAAATTTCTGAATGCTTAAAGAAGGGAATGTACTACACTCCTCTTACCTACTGTCTTAGTATCAGTCATTTTAATAAAAGGTCTTGAAATTAAGGCCTTCACTGCTGAGTTATCTGCTCTGATAAGACAATGTTCCATAATAATTTAATTTTCTTTAAATGAATTCCAAAACTTTTAGCAAACCTGAACCCAAATATACAGGTACATTCAGAATATACTAATTGCAAACATATCTCTTCCAAAGTACATTTTTTTCCTTATAATATTCATGCCGTCTTTGAATTTTTGCTCCAGGTCTGAACCACTACACCATCAATTATCAACCCTATGAATTTCTGCATAGGAGAATGAAGGAACTGTTTTCTTCCTCTAGGTGACAAGGTGGATATAAAGAGCTGATAAAGATGTACAATTTTGGCTCCCTCCACCTTTGCCAGTGTGGCAGCCAGAGGAGGTAGTTCCAGGGGAAGCAGCCTTCTGCCTCTGAAAAGTCACGTCCCAGTCATCCCAGCAGCTTTCACCATTACTCCATGGTGGTTTAGCAAAGGTGAGCCTTGATTCTAGTGATAGAGGCCAGGAGCAGAGTGCCTTACTACTGAGAAGGACAGGACAGAGGGGAGCTTGTGTGATGAGGGACTTATATCAATCTGTCTTTCAGATAAGGTAGGAAGGTGCATTGCTGGAAATTATCATATTCATACACTTAACTGAATTTGGTATCTGTTCTGCACCAGTGCTGTAAGCACACATGCCAATATTCAGGAGTGAAATTGCTCTATGGAGCAGTTACTGCTGTAATAGAACATGTAATGTACTAAACATGTTACTAGATTGGGAATGTATACCCTCTGAAAATCTAGGCAACTTCTGCTTCATGGCTCATACAGTGCTATAATCTGTCTCTCTTTTTTTTCACACTAAATTGTAATGTTTCCTAAATTATAGACTCTTCAGATTGCTTATTAAAAACTGGCATTGCAAAACTGGTACTTAATTTCTAGGCACATCTGGAGAGACATTTTTATTACGCCTTTCAGAAGCATGCACAATATTTCTGGCATGTTATAATTTATCAACTATCGCCACTAAGAATGAGCTATTCCTATTCAGAGAGAGTGTTTTTCCGCGCAACCAGATCAGATGCTAAGTCAGCAAAAGCAAAACAAAGGGAAAGGCATTTAATGCATAAAATCTGTAGAAATATGTTTCTGAATCTGTAAAAAAAGTTAACACAGAGAAATGTGCAACTCTTAGTTGGAGTTCTGTTAGGACCATGTAATCTTAAGTGCCAGGTAAGCTAGTCCCTCCCAGTACTTATAAGTCACATAAAATAAATATAAATATGTTGCATATTTAGACAAAATATTTGCAGTATTTCAGCCTACAAGTTTTCCTAAGAAAGTTGCTCTTCAAATTGCATGATAGGAAAATTCTGCATATAAATAAATTATAAAAAATGTTATTAAAGTTCACCACAAATAAAAAAAAAAAGCTGGCTAATATCCCAAAGGGAATCCTTTCACTATAGATGTTCTCTCAAATTATACTTGTGTTATTTCTCTCTGTGTTAATCAGACTTGAGTGGAGCAGCCAGACCACAAAGCTCTTGCAGTTCACACTCTCTGATGCAGGGAACTACATGCCAAATCCACAAAACCATTGATGACTCTAATACTTACATTCCAAGATAGTTCCTGTGGATACAGAAGACAAGTGCTTCTTTGAAATTAGGTGCTGTGCTACTTGACCTCAGATGACTGGACACCTTCTGCACTGGCTAGCTGGAGCCCACAGCAGTGCCTTGGGGAAGTAGATGCATTTCCCTGTTAGGTTGCTCATGTTGAACAGAGCAATGCCCAGAGCAATGCCTAAATTAGCTGAGTAGCAGGGCTGGCAAGAGCCTTTGAGGATTTAAATGCCCTTGGCTGCACTGGTACTGCCTCCAGCCAGGATCTGTAGCTCAAAATCCTCCTCTGAAAGCAGCACCTTCATGCAGTAAAAAGCACAACATCCAAAATATATGTCAGTCAATTTTTTTTTCTAGACAAGTATTTTCTAAGTGTTTCTC